TTACATGCTGAATGTGTGTCTCATCGTGTGCCATCACTATAAGCGATTAGAGTATACCAAACTTTACACATTATATAGGTTACACTAGTGTGATGTTTAGGCAGCTCGTTTAACTATTATACGTGATGTACATTTGGGGGGGGGGGGCACGACATTAATTTTTTGACTACCTGATTCTTAAGATGCCATAAAGTCTTTGTTTGCACTCATGAGTAGTACTTGCTATCCCTCATCCAAATTCACAAGGATATGGAAAAATATTAATTTTTGTAGACTTTACATATACATTTTGGAATACCAAAAATTATAAATTACAACACTGATACCTCAAAAATCCACTGTAATTTACCAGGCTTCATAATTAAATTGTGTTTGGGTCTAAAAAAATCTAATTTCTGTTCAGGAAATAGTCTCGATAGTAATACTTCAAACTTTCCAATGATATAAAGAGCTTTTCTCTCATAAATAACTTAGGAAGAGTGACAGAATTATGTAAAAGAAATATAGAGTTTTTAATTGGTTATTATGTTATTTGTATACAAAAGTAGGTGTAGATAAACAAGTCTTCTCAAATGATGAAGTGGTGGTCAGAGCCAATATGGTGGATTCGCTAAATATTGAAATATCTCAGCAAATAGAAAAGTAGGAGATTCTTATTTTATATTCTAGCTTGCCAACATAAAATATTTGAGCTTCTAATTCATAAAATTCATAAAATGTGTGTCATAAAATGTAATCAGACCAAACCCAGAAGGCAATGTACCATGTGACACACAAAAATTGATATTAACCTCTTTTTTAATATTCATTTTCAAATTAAGAAATTAACTAATATATAATACTGAAATTTAAATTATAATCTGCAATTTGATGCCAAACTTATTGACATACATTTATAAAATAAAAGTTAAATAAAGTTTTGAATATAAGTCTACAAACATGATGACATGCCCTCTGACCCCTACCTGTGTCAATAGGGTTAAGTTGAAACAATTCTCTACTTGTTCTTAAAGATAATTTGGTGACAGAATAATATCTTGAAAGACAACAGAAGGCAACAGTCGAGTGTCTGATGCAAGTACAAACACTGTTTTTGTACTTTAGACTGGTGCTTCTCAACCTTTTCCAATATCAGTCATTCCTATAAGTTTTTCACAACAGTTCACTCACCCAAGTTAAAAAAAAAAGACAAAAAAAAGTACTAAATTAAAATGCAAAATTCTTTATTATGACTTAAATATACATCAAACTACAACCAGAATTAATATAAAATAAAATAAACAAAACTCTGGGGTAAACCATTCACCCATTTGAGAAGCACTGCTTTAGACATAAATAAAGATTGATTTTTACATCAGGTGTTCACTTTGTTTATTTTCTGAGCTTAAATTCAGTTACTTGGTTAGATTCAGATTTACACAGTGATTATCCTGATAAATCTTCCTGTTATAAAAAAGACCTACATAACACTATTAGTGAGAATAAGTTTCACCTGAAAATACTACAATGTTTATCTGAAGGATACTTGAAAAAGAATTTCTAATTAAACTGGACATAAGTAAGGATAATTGAACTTTGTACTATTTTAGCTCTGACAAGGAAAAAAAAAGCATTGTTATAAAAAATGTCAATCCTCTTTCTATTTATTGCTATGCAAATCAAGTACTGATAAATAATTTGTCCTGTGACCTGAAGTTCAATTTGCAGATAGGATTAAAGTTTAATGACAACAAAAAACCACTCCTTTTTGTCAATCCTGCTCTTCTTTAAGGAATATTTTCAACAGTTTAGCATAGTGGAAACAAGTGTTATCATACATTAGACTAAAGTCAATGCTAACATCACTAGCATATGAAAGCACAAAGGGTTGTAGGATGCTTTATACTGAGTGACATTATTAATAGTACAATTCCATAGAATGTAGAGGTTGGTATGTCCATCAGTGCTTATCCCTGCACACACCACTGGAATCATTGCAGGCAAGTTTTTTTTTTGTGCTTTACTGTGAGAGGAATGCACCTCACTTGGTGTCTAACATACAGGAAGGCCATGTGAAGTCTGTTTCTAACTAATCAAAACAACATCAAGCTTGAGATGAGAACATGTAGTTTAGTCTTGGAGCAGATACTCCAGAATTGCATTATCCAGAATCAACAGTTAGTAGTAACTACCAGCGTTCCAAATTATGGTATGCCTTATTCAGGTGTTTGAGCAACAGTACCATGGGCCTGGAAGCAATTTCACGTTTTGATAATATTTGTAGCCAATTTGCACCATACTACTCTGAATTTGAGTGATATTCTTAAACATAGAAATATCTTATATCATTGAGAAGAAAGTTGGAGTTAACTTCCCAGCAAAAGAAGACAGTATCACATAAAAAAACTTTAACCAAGTTTAGAGTATATATCATGAAACAATCTAAGTGAAAACCAACAAAAGGGTGTTGTCAAACTCATAAGTAAGTAAACAATAATAACAACTAAGAGAAAATATATTCAAATATGACAGACTATGAAACAGAACATTCTATGTTCTATGAGTAGACTCTGATTCAAACAGTAAAGGCAGTAATGAATGTGATGAACCATGCAGCTTATCACCTGAATGGTATATTTAGCAAATGTTGAATATTACTCAGAGAGGAAGTAGAATGATTGTTTCAGAATTTTACACAAAGCCACACAAAAGCTATCTACACATAATCATCCTAATACCGAACCAATGGAAAAAATGGAAGGTACATATAGTTAGTCAACAGCACCCAATGCAAGTTCTTCGGTTACTCTCGTCTGATCAAAATGTGGGATTTTGTCATCATTCTTATAGCACTCCAAGGGCCCCAAAGTTTAGAGTGCATTTTTAGACTGTGGGATTTTGTCATCAGTCTTATAGCACTCCAAGGGCCCCAAAGTTTAGAGTGCATTTTTAGACTAGTGGGATTTTGTCATCAGTCTTATAGCACTCCAAGGGCCCCAAAGTTTAGAGTGCATTTTTAGACTGTGGGATTTAGTCATCAGTACTTATAGCACTCCAAGGGCCCCAAAGTTTAGAGTGCATTTTAGACTAACAGGTCATAAGCCATG